ATGATAACCAGATTACAACAATGAATGCATTTATGGTACAAACTATATTTATTTGGTGTTATAAAATGGTTCACAAAGGTAAAAATCACGTAAAATATCTGAGTGAAGATAGTAGAATATTTATTTATAATTTATTGAATATCTATGAAATAATTGTATGAACATTTATTCTGAATTATGCTATATTTTGTGCTGAAAGGGATACATAGAAAAATAATGGTCCTGTTTTCCAGAAGATTATTATCCATGGGTAGAACATACAAACATATATTAAGAAAAATGCAAGGTATTCATTTAGTACAAAATGAGAGATAAAAATAACTGCAATAAAATTATAAAGATGCAGGAAGAACAGTATAGCAAGTGCTTCACTGAAGATTTTATTGAACAGATATGATCTGATAGACTTCTAAAGGACTGGCTATATTTCAACAAAAAGAATGACAGAAAAAAGGATTTCAGGCAGGTAAAAATGGTAAGGTCAAAACTTTGACACTGAGAGAGAACATGGTATGTTAAATAAGTGTGACCAAAAAAGGTGTGAAGAAAGGCTTTATGCTGGAAAAAAAGAGACAAGTATAGAAACATAGGGTGGGATTACCAGAATCATTCATCCTTAGGCCAAGGATTCTGAACAGAGAAATGATATGAATTATAACATAAAGGATCAATCAATTTATATGAAGAAAGTTATAAAGTAGTAGCTGACAAAAGATAGCATTGCAAAATTAAGAGATCACCTATCCACTAAGATTGTAGCTTCTATATACTTTAGTAAAATGGCAGTGGCTTTAAACCACTCAAAGTTAAAGATATAATCCAACAGAAAACTTACTAACAATCCAAAGGTGGGTGAAAAAATAGTTTCATGGTGAAGCAGAGCATGATATTGGGAAGGAAAACAAATACTGTAAGTTTCTGATTCAGAAAAGGCTGACCACCATTAAAATTATCACAAGTACATAATAAAGGAACAATTAGAGACAAGTAAGATAACTAGAAGAACAGTAACATGTATATACTTCTGTAGTTGCTAAGGAATTAAACATATGATCACAATGTAATGAGACTGACCTCATAATATATGTATAAGAACTTATATATTCTATTGAGTGCTATCTCCTTCAAAAGAAATCACCTTATGAGGCTAATTATTCCAATATTTGCACCATGGCACAGAATATTCTTGGAGGTTTTCTATAAAACATAGTATCAAACATTACATAAAAATATGAAAATAACCCCACTCCATTTTTTTTAATCCCCAAAAGTGGCTTAAATACCTATTTTATTGACTTGTCTTAGTTTAGGGACTGTTAGCAGCTTCCAGAAATTAAATCCAATTTCAAAAGATGAGTATTAATTACCATTAGATATTTTTTAAATGTGCTGTAACTTTGAAGGTAATAAAAAAATAGAATGCCAAAATTTTTTGAGCAATGGTAGTATCAATGAATCAAGTTTATAGCTTTCCAAGATGATTCCTTTTTTGGGTGGGTGGGAGTGGGGGAAATACCACTCATTTGATTGTACAAATTCTGTTATGTTTAAAAGCAATGTGACAGTTTCTACACTGGTAACACCTCACATAAAATCAGAATAATGGCTGCTAAGATTATATACCAGAAATTTTCTTTTTAGTGTAGGCTGAAGAGTGACCTTATGACAGTAACTGCTAGGAGATACACTGAGCATTATAACAGCAATCTAACAAATCCTAGTCAACAGACAAAATATTCTGTTACTTGAAATTACACTTTGGTTGCATATTACAGAAGGCTTATAATAAAATCAGCAAAAATGAGAATTGTGGTCAAAATTCCTTTAAAAAAATCTCTATATTACTCTTTAAAGTATGTTTTTTTATATATCATACTGCTTCACAGTAGGTCCACCCAGTTTCTTCCCTAGGCTTTGAACAGATTACTGTTTTGTTTTTTTTTTTAATTAAGCACCAGATAAATTAGGCAGCTTATATTGTGAAGCCATATATTACAAATAAGTATTTTTTGAGCACATACAGTTAAATCTGCACAAACTGTGCATGTGCATTACACTACTAATGTCTTTTAATAAGTCTGTCTGAATTAGGAGAAATAATGAAAAAACATTTATGAAAACAAATGACAAATATGGCTTCAGTAGATTCACTAAAGCAAGTGTGAACATTAGGAACATTAAATGAAAGATGATTTTATTAGTACTCAAAAGCAGTTTCATGTACACTGGATGACTATCTCACAAAAGACAGTTATTTATCATATCAATAGGTGACTCCTATGACAATGGTAGAACAGGTAAGAACGTGACACTATAAAAATACCTATCACTACACACGGTTAAGCTATTAAAAAATCCTATATGTATAGGAATTTTTTAGTGCATTTTCATATCTGTTTTTAAATTCTGACAATTATCCTGGAAGGAAGATACTGTCTCCCTTCATTTACAAATATCAAAGCCAAGGACATAGAGTTTAAGTGACTTACCGATGTTCACACAGCTTGTTAGTGACAGAGCAGGGATTAAAAACCAGGTCTCCTGATGCCCCGTCCAGTCCTACACAATGACTGCTGCCAATATTCTATTTATACAAGGTAGTAAAAATCATGCCTTTAAAAAGTCATTATTTTATCTCTCATTCATGCTAAATTTTAGTTTCATAAAATAATCATCAAAATAGTTTAGAGTTTACAAACATGCTTTTAAAAAAATTATGTAACAGAATTTTAGTGCACATGAGTTAGGCCAGACACTTCTGGAAATCGTCCATCCAATAGGCAAGAAAACAATGTGCAAAAGAAATGAAAATTTGAAACTTCCCTCTACCATCTTATTGATGACACTGATTATAAAATTTAAGGATTCCCCACTGAGTCCAAAAGTAAAAATTTCAAAAAAGGCAGTCTCTGATGAGAGAAAAAAATTTTATTTGGGAAAACAGCAGTACTAGATATTTGAAGAAGCAAATTTTATTTAAACAAATCAAGTTTCATTTGTCCAACTGCCAAATTTCCAGTTCTCTCTTCATATTTCAAAACTGCTATTTTATCAATGACGTCAAAAATTCTGTCATTGGAAAAGAAGATAATTTAAATATGGTAGGCTCCTCTTTTAAAATTGTGAATATTTTTCCTATGTTAGCTGGGGAGGGAAGAATGACGACAGAGGGAAAAGGTGAGTGAACTGAACCTGAGGAGAGAAATGAGAAGGTGAAGCTAGGTTGATGAATAAGCCATCTCTTGGTCTTTCGAATTCACTCAAAAAAAGAATCCATGCAATGGATATAATTTCTTTATATGCTGAGTATATACTCAATTTCTTGAAATGAGAATTTAATCAAGCTTCTTTAATGAAGCCTTACCTTTAGGCAAAGAGAAAAACAGAAAGACTCCAAACAGAAAGCATTAAATAAATGAAGATCAATACTATCACATCTTTGTGCTTCATAGTTAATATCACATAAAAGGCACATACATAGCTATGCTCTCTGCCAAAGAAAGTTAAAGAATCCATATTGCTCTCTCACCCACACTAACTCTACAACTAAAAGGTACTTTGATGATGTTACCTGAATTTCTCATCAGAAGAAATATCCTTTAGTCTAGACTTTGAGATTAACTCATCCTAAAGAAGATTCATTCTAGGAATCACTTGCCCTGTCAGGTGACAGTTTACATTTTTAAGGTTTGAAGGGCAGCCATTACTTGAAATTCCACCAGAAGGGGTGCATTCCTATTTGTAAAACAACACCCCTCCCTGATGTTTCCTTTTATAGGACAGTTTGGAGAAGACACCTTAACTGATCAAAGAAATGGTTACTGAATGTACACACTATGCCAGCACATGCTCAGAGCTGTGGCGTTACCAGAAGAAATCAACAACGCGGTCTCTGCTCCCAAGGAGCTCACAATCTGATGAAATTACTAGGGACACCAAAACAAGCCGGCATAATACATGATTTAAGGGCTACAGTGTATGATTCAGATTTAAGCTCTTTTCACATAGCTGTGAATAAATTTATCACAGTTCTTCCACTGCTGGAAAACAGGGCAGCACAACATGACAGGAATAGGAAATGGGGAAGGTAACATTTAAAAGAGAGAAAAGCCAATTTGCCCCACTTAGAATCACGAACCAACGCTCCACAATTTCGCAGAGTGCATCCTGCCAGCTTAGCATCCGGGACAACTACAGTATTCATTAAAATCTTTTAACACTGAAGGTGGTTCTCTAAATCCAGCAGGGTTGAGTGGCAGAGGCAAGATCCTCTCGGGAATTAACACCAGAGTTATTTTCCTGATTACAAACCTGGCTCTTTGGCGGAACGCAGGCACCAAGGGCAGCACGCCCGCAGTCCGCTACTCTGCCTCCGGGAGAGAGGGGCACCGTAGCTAGGAAACCGGACCCTTAGAGCTTCACGATGACGTGCGAGGGACGACACAAACCCCCAGGCCCCAGAAGAGCTCCCCACCCAGACAACCAACAAGGGTCTGGAAAGGCCAGAAACCCGCGAAATCACCACTCGAGCTTCCCCCAAAAGTCCTGCCCACTTCCCCGCCGCGCAGGAAACTGGCACCCCGCCCACTGCAGCTCGGCCCAGGCGGCCGGGGAGTGGAGAACGACGTTGAGGGGTGTCGTCCCGCCCATCCTGAGAGCGCCCGCGGGAATTTTTTTTCCCCGCCTGCCGGAAGGCGCGGCTTCCCCTGCTCGGTTAATAAACCATTAGCAGCCTGAGCGAGAGCGAGTCCCCGCCCCGAGCTGCCCGCGCACCTCCCCACGCCCTCACCTTTCAAAGCTCCACCGCCTTTGCCTCCGCCCCAGGTACCCCCTCCAGACTGGCAACGCTCCTCCTCCTTCCGGGGACCAGGGGAAGTCCCGCCTCTGGGAGGAGCAAGGGGCGGGGTCGGCAGCGGGAGGGGGCATCTTCCGGGAGCGTGTGCTGGGGGAGGAGCGGTCGCCGCGCGTTAGTCAGGGAGCGGTGCGGGTCCTGGTTCCAATTGAGGTGGGGAGAGGGGCCCGGTGGGCTTGAGGGGCCGGGAGGACTGTCCAGGCTAAGCCCCGCGCGGGGAAGTGTGGCTTGCGGTGGAAGGGGTTGGCTTCTGGGGAAGAAATCAAACCTAACCGTTCCCTTGGGAAAGGGGGCTAGTCCCCGACTCCCTGGTTCTTCCGCTCTCTGCAGTAACTTTGGGGTGTGGCAGGGGCTAGTGACCAGCGTTTACTCCGGATCAGGGAGTGAAGGAGGTTTGTGATCACGATGGGGTTATAGTCTTTAACGCGGCCACTGGGGGAATAAAACAAATGTTTGTAATCCGGATTATCCGCGGTGGCTTGGGGCCTCCTCTACTGCCCATCTAAGTTAAAGGCCTGTTCCCTCAAACTTCCTCCCCTATCATCTTCCTCTGCCATCTCTTTGCCGGCCAAGCACATCCGGGGACGGGGTCAGGGCCACTAGGTTCCTGGTAAGGTTGAAAGACTGAGCGTGTAGGGCTGTTAAAGTGAGTCTGTGTGAAAGAAGGAAGGATTTTGTAGATTGCTTCAGAGGGAGTGTGGGGTGAGGCCCTGAGTCCCAGAGCCTCAGCATGTCAGGGAAACGGAAGCGGGTGGTGTTAACTATTAAAGATAAGCTTGATATAATAAAAAAACTTGAAGATGGAGGTTCTTCCAAACAATTGGCAGTGATTTATGGAATTGGTGAGACAACAGTTCGGGATATAAGAAAAAATAAGGAAAAGATTATAACTTATGCAAGCAGTTCTGATTCCACAAGTCTTCTGGCCAAGAGGAAATCTATGAAACCATCCATGTATGAGGAACTGGACAAAGCAATGCTAGAATGGTTCAACCAGCAAAGGGCAAAAGGGAATCCCATATCTGGACCGATTTGTGCAAAAAGGGCAGAGTTCTTCTTTTATGCTTTGGGAATGGATGGTGATTTTAACCCCTCCGCTGGTTGGTTAACTCGTTTTAAGCAGCGGCACAGCATTAGAGAGATTAACATTAGAAATGAAAGATTAAATGGAGATGAGACTGCTGTGGAAGATTTTTGTAACAACTTTCGAGACTTTATTGAACGAGAGAATTTACAGCCTGAGCAGATATACAATGCAGATGAAACTGGACTCTTTTGGAAATGCCTACCATCCAGGACTTCTGTGATCAAAGGTAAATGCACTGTCTCAGGGCACAAGTCAATTGAAGAAAGAGTCACTATCATGTGTTGTGCCAATGCAACAGGTTTACACAAACTGAAACTTTGTGTTGTGGGGAAAGCAAAGAAACCTCGCTCCTTCAAGTCAACTGACACCTCAAACCTGCCAGTCTCTTATTTCAGCCAAAAAGGTGCATGGATGGATCTTTCCATTTTCCGACAGTGGTTTGATAAGATCTTTGTGCCACAGGTTCGAGAATACTTAAGATCTAAAGGCCTGCAGGAAAAGGCTGTGCTCTTGTTGGATAATTCACCAACACATCCAAATGAAAATGTCCTCAGGTCAGATGATGGACAAATATTTGCTAAATATTTACCACCTAATGTGGCTTCATTGATCCAGCCCTCCGATCAGGGAGTCATAGCGACAATGAAGAGAAATTATCGTGCGGGTCTTCTTCAGAACAACTTGGAAGAAGGTAATGACCTGAAATCATTCTGGAAGAAGCTAACTCTGCTAGATGCACTTTATGAAATAGCAATGGCATGGAATTTAGTAAAGCCGGTTACCATTAGCAGAGCATGGAAGAAGATTCTTCCTACCATAGAGGAGAAAGAAGGCTTGGACTTTGATGAAGAAGATGTTTCTGTGGCTACTGTGGCCACCATTTTACAACATACCAAAGGACTGGAAAATGTGACTACTGAGAACATCGAAAAATGGCTTGAAGTGGACAGTACTGAACCAGGCTATGAAGTGTTAACTGACAGCGAAATCATCAGAAGAGCACAAGGCCAGACAGACGAATCTAGTGAAAATGAGGAGGAGGAAATAGAACTGATTCCAGAGAAACATATTAATCATGCAGCTGCTCTCCAATGGACTGAAAATTTATTGGATTATCTAGAACAACAAGGTGATATGATTCTGCCTGATAAACTCGTGATACGTAAACTTCGAGCCACCATCAGAAATAAACAGAAGATGACAACCTCAAGTCAATAATGGCATGTCATTGTTAACCATTGTTTTGGTAATTGTGTTTGTAACTCTTAACCTCTGCAGTGTGATTTAATTTTCTTTGCGTTCTTAATTCTCAGTCACAGCCCTATGAAATGCAGATACAAAAATGTATCTGAAGTGATTCGAGGATTGTATGTTTTGCATCATCTCTGTGTCTTTATTTGTGCAGATAATTGGAAGCTGATTCTGTATAGATATAAATTACATATACACAGGTATTCACTTTTGTAGATCTGCAATTACCCCTTCTATTACAGTGGCATTCCCTAAACTTTCTAAAAAAAAATTACAGATAACAGTGAACAGATGGAGCATTTTCCTGAAATCTGTTGTTTGGTTTGTGAGGGCTGCCACAGTAATCTTTTCTTGTGTTAACATCTTAAATGTTATGTTTTGTGTGTCTGTATACACTGACAGAATGAGAAATATCTATATTTTAGATTTCAGGGTGATATGCAGTAATTAAAAGTGAAGTCCAATAATGAGGAAACTGATCAATGAATTATAAAAATAACTTAGAAATCATACTTTTGTTCTCTTACATTTGTTTATGTGGCAAGAGGGGGAGATTTTTCTGGAAGTAAATATATAGGAAGTGATTACTAAATTAGTAACAAAACTATTTGAAAGCTGATATATAAATGGGCTATTCTGATGTATTCATTTGTAGAAAACGAGTTGAAAATTTGGGGAACTTTAGGTTATTTATACAAGGGGAATAAATAAGCTTGTTTTAATTGGGTCTTATGAATTGGGTAATTATTTATTCGTAATTATAGTACAGGTTTTGTAATGTTACATGTGGTAATACGAACTCCTACCTTATATGTGGGGAAGAATCTTGGGAATTTAAAGTTATGGTTTTTTTACTGTGTACTTGGAAATGTCTATAGTTTGAAAAAGTTTATCATACCTTCCCCTTTTATTTGATATGAAAAGAAAAAGAAATGAGAAGAATAAAGTTATTATTATTTTTAACAAGCCATAGGTTGTGACCTGTTTTATGAAGAAAGCAGAAATAATTATGGAAAGTGTCAGATTCTAAGGACTTTCATTTACTCTTTTAACACTTGTAAAAAGGTATTCTTTCTTCTAGAATCCATTTAAGTCAGATTTTTGATAAATTTGCTTAGTAAATTTAATATGTTTATTCAGGACATTGAAAAGACTGTGAATATTGATTTAATTTATAATTTAGAAGCAATGTGGGTCTCCATATTTCATGTTTTGGCCCTTTAAAAAATGTTCTCTATCAGTCATTTTTTAAAAGTTTTAACTGTTTCATTGAAATATTTTGCATTTTATATTTATAGTGCCTTTCTTAGAATTCTAAGACTTCAAGGAGACTTTTAGCTTCCCTAATTTCTGTTATCTTAATGATGTATGTCCGGAGTTTTTAAAAAAGACTTCTGTGATGAGAACTGTTTAAAAATTATTGCATGAATTGCCTCAGTGCACAGAGGAAAAAGCATCAGAAATTAACATACATATTGAATCAGATAATTATACATCCTGCTATAAATTCAATTGTATATAAAAGAATTTTTCCCATTTTTCTAATATGAAAATGTATAAAAGCTTGGAATTTCTGTCTGGATTTGCTCAATTTTTAAAAATCTCAGTGAAATTCAGCTGTATCGTTGCCACCTAGTGGTAAAATTAACATTGCTGTTAAGCTGTGTGGTTTCAAATATTAGTATCAAGTAAAAGGTTCACTATTTTGTGGCCTTGAGTGTGAATCTTATGACTCTTTCTCTAGCCTGTGAGAGACTGCTCTTGTTTTTTAGATTTATAGCTATTTTCTCTTTTCTAAAAGCTGCCAACACTGGTAGGCTATAGTTCTGTTTTGGACCTTTTTATCCTTAAGCGTAAGTATAAAAGCTGCCAATTACTGAATACCATGTTATGTTCTAAACAATTTACTTATATAATCCTCAAATTATGGTGGAAATACTGAGGCTCAATTGCTGAAGATCCCTTGGGTACAGGTAAGAATTTAAGCCCAGATATTTGATGCCAAAAGCCTATGCTTGTATTATCCAACCTAGGCTAACCTCTTAACCTTTTCCAGTCTTCAAAATATATTTCCTGCCACCAGCCCCACTCCCCCCACCCTTCACGGATGTCTGACTTTACTTCTCTGTACACTTGTGGCAGCAACTGCCCTTTCCTCTACTCTTATGAAGTTAGTCTTCCTCTTTCTTTACCCTGTAGTTCATTTCCGTTTATCCCCAGCCTAATAGCATTTGAAACTCGAATCATCTGTCTTTTGATTTCTGGTTAGCCATGCTCAGTGAGGATCCTTTCTCACTTAAACAATTTAAAACCCACCATTGGGAAAATAAACAGTTCCTGCAAACATTCCTCTTTAGTTTATGAGACAGTCTCAAAGAGATGCGAGGAATTGGCGCAGTATTGTACCAACATGAAAGTCTTGCTAGACCAAAGATACTGAAAACTGCTACTATCAAAACCACATGAGTATGTATACACTCAGATCCATATAGAGCAAAGGGGGAAAAATGAGATGATAATGGGAAGAGAAGGAAGGATAGGTTCAAATACAAGAAGAGTTGGTTAGAAAAGAAAAAAGGAACATGTGGGCTGCAGTGAGGTTAATTTTGTAATGTGTGTTTCACCATCATAGTCCCAGGCTTACTAATATGTGCTGCTCATTCATAGATGGTCCCAGAAATCTCTGCTTTTCTTCTTTCTTACAGAATGTTTAAAAGTCAGTGCCAAGTTAAATGCATTTGATCAGTAGTTGGGAATGGTTAGTGGATGATGACAGAAACTATTTGGGTACTATATCTGCCCCAAAGTCATAAATCCTTAGTTCCTGATTCCTAGTCCCTAACGTCCCACCAGAGGCTGTTTGGCTTTCAATTTCTCTATTAAGAAATTAGCCACAGGGGTACCTGGGTGGCTCAGTCGGTTGAGCGTCTGCCTTCTCCTGGGGTTGTGATCCCAGGGTCCTGGGAAGGAGCCCTTCATCGGGCTCCCTGCTCAGTGGAGAGCTTGCTTCTCCCTCTGCCCCTCTCCCCTGCTCATGCTCTTTGTTGCTCTCATTCTCTCTCTCAATAAAATCTTATAAAAAAAATAGAAATTAGCCATAGACTTAGTTTTCTCACCAGTCTTGCCAGGTTTTCCCATTGATGAGCCTCAATAAAACAACAGCTCTCAGAAAACCCATCTGTACATTACGATGTTTCTTTAAACCCATACTCCCAGTAGCCAAGAATTCTGTGAGAGTAGGTTTATGGGTGGAAATTAGGAACTTACTTTTTATGAGAGATTTGGACTTTTTGGGGGTGGATGGTGAGGGAAGTGGAACTTTTTGCCAGGTGTAAATTTAGTGAATCAAAAATTGGTTGGGACTTACTATATGCATAAGACTACTGGGGGTGGTGTGTTTAGGAAAATAAAAAGAAGAGTGGTTCTTGTCCTTAAGGATCTTGAAATTAAGGTGGAAAAATGACATTTGAAAAAAAAAACCCATCTGTTCAATTGTAAACTCAAGTAATACAGCCAACATGATGTGATAAGGACTATGTGAAGAAACCATCATGATTTATTTTGCTTATTCATTCCTTCGCGGGCTTGTACTTTGTATACTGTTTACATTTTAAGCTTTTCTTCGTTCTTGTTTTTCACTGATCCTGAGTGACTTCATCCATTTCCATTACTTGCATGCTTAGGACCCCGAATCTACCTCCAGTTGCTGTCTTCAGAAGTCCAAATTTGTATCTTCAATTGAGAAGCAGGATTTAAGTTTGGAAGGGAAATTAAAATTGTTGCTTTTCTTCCCATCTGTAGTAGACTCTCCATTAAGCATTCTGATGTCAGAGCTACCTAGATGGGCTAAGGACTTGAAATAATTTTTTAACTGAATGCCAAATTAAGCTTATCTTCCTTGGTCTAAGATAACAAAACAGATAATTATCTATTTTCTTATTTCTGTCCTCTTTCTTAGTTAGCCTTTTCTGATGTACACACATGCCTTTGCCTCTGACCATTCCTTCACACAGGCAGCCATAGTGCTTTCTGGTTTTGGTATCCTTGTTGCTACTCAAGTATTAAAATTTAGTTTGTCATGTTCCAACCCCTAATCTTAAATGACCATCATTTATACTCTTCAACCATATGCCTTAAAATGTACTCTGTTTTCTGCAGTTTGGGCAGTGGCAGCTTCCCATAGTAACTAGGCTTATGCAATTAGAAGCGGGGTACGAAAGAATGCCCAAAGGGTACTGGTCACTGGGGACAACTAATAATGCGAAAACTAGTGTCTGTAAGACCTTGGAGCCTGTAAGACTTGTAATATACTGTGAAGTGATTTTTGCGATCTGTGTCTCTTAATACTGGATTAGGAGATCAAGGCTCAATGCAGAGTAGTAGACATTCAACAAATGTGTACTCAGCAAACACTAATTGTATACTTTCTCTGTGTAAGACATGTGTTAGGCAATGTATGGGATACATGGATAAGACTACCCGCTTCAAGAGATTTATATTACAGACATGTAGAAAAAGAGAATTAAGTGTTACAGTGCTGATGGAATATAAAGAAAACACTCATTAAATCTGATATGAGTGACAAAGCAGTGTAATCTGATAGGAGTAGAGTCATAACAATTGAGTTGGTCTTGAAAAGCAACTGAATTTTTCGTTTCAGTTTTATTTGTCTTCAGTCATTGCCAAATGTCCTCCAGGGGGCCAAGTCATCCCTACTTGGGAACCACTGCTGTAGAGCTACAGGATTACAGGTACTTGGTTTGCTTTCCAAGTTACTGAAGGTAATATTTATAAAATGTTTCTACCACTATCCCAAATTACACAGCTTCTGATATTTATTTCCCTGATGCCCGCTTCCTGATCACTGATTTAATGCCACACACTTGAGATTTTTGCCACAGTGGCACCGCACTTCAAGGTACCCATTTCTCTATTGATCTGGGTGACTCTAGCTAATGAAACACACCTCAGAATTTTAGAGATTTACAATAAATGTTTTTCTCTCAGCAGTTTTGTGATGATAAAGGACTTAGTTGGAGCATGACTCTTTAAGTAGAGATTCATGGACCTAGGCTCCTTCTGTCCTGTGACTTTGCGTTTGCTAGACTCTTAAAATCTTCTGCATCTAGTTAGCAGATGGAAAAAGAGAAAGAATGAAGAATATACCCTGCTTCTTAGAAACTTCCTTTTCTCAGAAGTGATATACAATTTTTCAGTTCACATCCTAATGATAAGAACTAATCACCTGGCCCTACCTTCATACAGGCAACGCTTGGGAGTGACTCCCTAGCCAGGCAGCTGCTTCCTAGTGACAACTTTATACTCTGGAAGGGGAAGGCACATGTTAGTGGAAAATTAGCCCTTTCTGAAACAAAAACAGTGGCAATTATTCTTATAAAATCATCTAAGGAGGTTTAACAAAGAATATCAGTGCATGAGTCCTACTCTAGGATCTGATTTAGTCTACGGTAGTTATAGTGGGTTCTTGTTTTTTGTGTTTTGTGTTTTGTTTTCAAGTTTCCACATATCTCTCAATATGCAACCAAGGTTGAGAACCACAAGATTATGAATTTGCAAGGTGAGCAGAGTAGAAGATGTGGAGACAAGAGACTAACAGGCTTCTCTGACGGACCATGAGGTCAAGACTATGTATAGCGGCAGAGTAGTAAAGAAGCTAAATAAGAAAGCAAATTAGCATGTCTATGCATCTGTGTATCTTTGTAGGGGTAACTATGATATCAGAGGAGAAACCATGGAACTTGGAAGCAGAAGACCAGTATTTAAGTCCTAGTTTTACCATTTTTCAGTTCCAGAATTCCTAATTGGTTCTTTTTCATAAGTGCCTATCCTTTCATGTGTAAAAAAATCTTATTATTTAAGTGTATTAATTTTACTTATTTGAAAGTTACAGTTTGAATTCTCCTCAATCTCTGACCTTTCTCTAACATTTACTGAGTTTGTAGTCTT